TACCAACCAATTTGGGACATGAGAAAAACATCCAGGGAGAAAACAATGTACTTTTAATCTTCAAGACAGGGTTTCCCAAACCTTGATAGCTTTAAGATGTGTGGACTTCAACTCCCAGAATTCCCCAGCCAGCATGCATGAACCTGGAGGATTCTGGGAGTCGTAGTCCTCCCATCTTAAAGCAGCCTGGCTGAGGAATTCTGGCAACTGGCATCCACCCATTTTAAAGTAGGCTGGCTGGGAGATTCTGGGAATTGGAGTCCATCCCTCTTAAAGCCAGCTGGCTGGGGGATTCTGGGAATTGGAGTCCATCCCTCTTAAAGCCAGCTGGCTGAGGGATTCTGGGAATTGGAGTCCATCCCTCTTAAAGCCAGCTGGCTGAGGGATTCTGGGAATTGGAGTCCATCCCTCTTAAAGCCAGCTGGCTGAGGGATTCTGGGAATTGGAGTCCATCCCTCTTAAAGCCAGCTGGCTGGGGGATTCTGGGAATTGGAGTCCACTTAACTTAAAGTCGCAAGTTTGGGAAATGCTATGTTAGAGGAAAGGGCAGTACAATGCTGCAAACGTGTCTAAACTTCAACTCCCAGCCTTCCCCAGACTGCATGGATGAACCTCAACTTCCAGGATTCTCCTGGGGAATTCTGGGAGTTGATGTCCACACATCTTAAAGTTGCCCAGGCTGAGAAATACTGCGGCAGATTAAAGAATGCTGCCCCCCACCCCCTTTCCTTTTATAAGGAGCCACTTCCTGCTGGAATGGATAGATGCTCAGGCATTTTGATCATTGATTCTTTCCAGGAAGAGCTTTTAATGCTTCGGTGTTTGAAAGCCACAACACTGAAGGTCAGAGAGAAGAGGTCAACCACAGGCTGGATGGTGCAAATGGACACCTTGCAATGAAGGATGAAGCAGTCAGAAGAGTCGGAGAGCAGAAGGTTTGGTCAAGCTAGAGCTGAGCTCAGCAGAATAAAAGGAGCGATAACCCAGAGGGCCTCTGAGCAAGTGCCGAGAGCATCCCTGAGAGTTAACAAAATTACAGAGTTGGAAGGGACCCTGGAGGTCTTCTAGTCCAACCCTCTGCTCAACAGGAAACCCTATACTAGGGGTAGGCAACCTTGGCTCCTTTATGACTCGTGAACTTCAACTCCCAGAATTCCTGAGTCAGCATGGCTGGTTCAGGAATTCTGAGTATTGAAGTCCACAAGTCATAAAAGAGCCAACGTTGCCTACCCTTGCCCTATACCGTTTCAGACAAATGGTTGTCCAGTCTCTTCTTTAAAAACCTCCAGTGTTGGAGAATCTACAACTTCTGGAGGCAAGTGAGTCCACTGGTTAATTCTTCCGCCTTAGTTCCAGGTTGCTTCTCTCCTTGGTTAGTTTCCATCCGTTCTTTCTTGCCCTGCCTCCAGGTGCTTTGGAGAACAGGTTGATCTACTCTGTGATGGTTTCTCAAATATTGGAACACAGCTATCCTGTCCCCCCTCGTCCTTCTCTTCATTAGACTAGACATACCCAATTCCAGCAACGGTTCTTCATCGGTTTCAGCCTCCAGTCCCCTAATCATCTTTGTTGCTCTTCTTTGCACTCTTCATCTAGAGACTCAGTGTATTTTTAATATGATGGTGGCCAAAACTGGACGTGGTATTCCAAGTGTGGTCTTTACCAAGCCATTATAAAGCGGTATGATTTAAAGCTAGAACTGAGCTCAGCAGAATAAAAGGAGCGATAACCCAGAGGACCTCTGAGCAAGTGCATCCCTGGGGGGGCTAGAAAAAAAAATGCCCCTAGATGTAGAGGAAAAATGCATCTGGCCTTATTTTGGGAGGACCCCGTGTTTTCCCAGCGCTCGGAAGCTGACGAGGCAGAGTTTTTATCTCCGTTTCCAACTGTTTCCCCCAACAAACTGAAATATATCCACTCAATCATTGTGTTCCATGATTTCCCCTTCCTCTGAATCAACAAAATACAGTTGGAGAAGTTCCAGAAGACGTTGTGTGCTTACCCAGGCCTTCCCCCGTGTGCCCCTAACCAGGGCAGAAGCGGCCCCAGCAACCTTGTCTTTCTCTTGCGTGTTCACATGACCGTTGCTTTCCCCCCAGACTCATCCTTAGCTGTCCAGTCCTCTTTCTTCCTACATCTGCCAAGGCCGGCCTGCAGGTGGCTAAAATCTGCTGGGCTATAACACCCACCCCTTGGAGGGACGCCAGGAGCCTTGGGCCAAGGGCCAAGAGAGGCCAAGAGGATCAGCCAAAGGAGTAGCGAGTTATCCTATTCCTTAGGCAGCAGGCCTGGACTTCAACTCCCAGAATTCCCCCAGACAGGATGCACGGACTTCAGCTCCCAGGATCCCGCAGGCAGCATGCATGGATTTCAGCTCCCAGGATCCCGCAGGCAGCATGCATGGACTTCAGCTCCCAGGATCCCGCAGGCAGCATGCATGGACTTCAGCTCCCAGCATCCCGCAGGCAGCATGCATGGATTTCAGCTCCCAGGATCCCACAGGCAGCATGCATGGACTTCAGCTCCCAGAATTCCCCCAGGCAGGATGCATGGACTTCGGCTCCCAGGATCCCGCAGGCAGCAGGCCTGGACTTCAACTAGTGTGGGATTTAGGAGGCCAGAAACACGGAGTGGAGCTTGGAAAGCCAAACTGGATTTGGCAGGCAACCAGGTTGGATGGCCTCGCACAGCCCACTCAAACAGTCCTTCTCAAACTTGGCAACTTTTAAGATGCGTGGACTTCAATTCCCAGAGTTCTTGCTGGCTGGGGAATTCTGGGAGTCGAAATCCACCAATGTTAAAGTTGCACGATGGTGGGGAATTGCTGCACTATAGGAGGTATAGTCCGGGGGACCCCTTTGGTTGACTTGGGGGGCAGGCATTGCAAGTTTCGGTCTGTGGGCCGCTGTGTCCTCCCCCGGATCTGGATATGTGCGCACAACTTGATGGTACCTGGGTGCAGATACTTTAACCGTTTAATCCTGATATAAGCCGTTTTTTTGCAAAACTTTTTTGAATGTTAGTCAAAGCAAAAGTTGACAGCCCAAAAAACATCTGGGTTGTTTTTCTGCAGATATTAAATTACCCAAACTAGGTAACATCAGTGCTAGTTCTTTTCCTTCCTTCCTTCCTTCCTTCCTTCCTTCCTTCCTTCCTTCCTTCCTTCCTTCCTTCTTTCTTTCTCTTCCTTTCTTCCTTCCTTCCTTCTTCCTTCCTTCCTTCCTTTCTTTCTTTTTTTTCCTTCCTTCCTTCCTTCCTTCCTTCCTTCCTTCCTTCCTTCCTTCCTTCCTTCCTTCCTTCCTTCCTTCCTTCCTCTCCTTTTCCCTTCTCCTCCTTTTTTCTCAAGGAAATGATAGTGATAGCAAGCAGTTCATTTCTTTCTGAGATCAGGTCACTAAATAAGAATCATCATAATAACCCTGATCGTAAAGTTTACGTTATCTGTGGTTCAGCACTCTCCCCCCTGCGGTTTTCCATGCAGGCACCATTGTGGCTCATCCGAGTCCTGGCTCTGCCCCCTTGATTCTGTGAGCACCCCCCCCCCCAGGCTAAAGGAAGGGGTCACCTGAGATTGACACTGGAAAGGGGGGGGGCTCTTGGCAAAATAGGAGAGGTCCCCAACCTGATACTTCCTAACCCATGGGCATCTTTCTGATGGCCAAGGACTGCATTTAATGGGGGTGGGGGTGGGGTGTTGAGTGGGGTTTCAGGGGGCGGAGCAACGATCTAAAGGGGGAAGAGTCTGTTTCCCTCATTTGGGGGAGGAGTTAAAGAAACTCCTCATTTTTAAAAGCCTTTAAGCTTCTGGCACGTCTATCTTCCCCTTTCTTTGGGCTTTTGAGATGATGGCCTCGCTGCTCCCAGACTGCCAAAGGGACCCCAGGCAAGGTCCTTGAGGGGTCTCATCGCCCCTCACCTGCCTTTTTTGGGGTGGGGGCTGCCAAACCTTCCCCGCTTCCTTTGTTCTTCCTTTAAGCGCTGCTCTGTCTCGCACCGACCTGGACAGCGACCCGTTTCGCGTTGTTCGTTCACTCGTGCCGTTTTTCCAAGCAGAAAAAGAAACCTTAAAGAGGCAGAAACGCACCGGGGCCGCCAATACGGAAGAGGCGAGAGCGGAGGGCGCTCTGCAGTTGCTCAGAAGCCCTCTCGCCTTTTGGCTCAAAAAACCAGCCAGGAGCTTCGGCGCCGCCGGGCTTAAGAAGTTCCATCCCTCAGGGGCGAGAAAGGAGCGGCCGTCGGTGCAAGCGGCGCTCCGTGCCAAGTTTTGTTTTTGAGGAGGGGGAAAAAGAAAGAAAGAGAGAAAGAAAGAGAAAAAGAGAAAGGGGAGAAAGAAAGAAAGAAAGAAAGAAAAGAAAGAAAGAGAAAAAGAGAAAGGGAAGAAAAAGAAAGAAAGAAAGAAAGAAAGGGAGAAAGAAAGAGAGAAAGAAAGAAAAAGAGAAAGGGGAGAAAGAAAGAAAGGGAGGGAGGGAGAGAGAAAGGGAGAAAGAGAAAGAGAGAAAGGGAAAAAAGGAAAGAAACAGGGAGATGGGAGGGAGAGAAAGAAGGAGAAGAAAGAAAGGGAGGGAGAAAGAGAAAAAGGGAGAGAGAAAGGGAAGAAAAGAAAGAAAGGGAGGGAAAGAGAATGGGAGAAAGAAAGAAGGGGAGAGAAAGGAAAGAAAGAAAGGGAGGGAGGGAGAGAAAGGGAGAAAGAGAAAAGGGGAGAGAGAAAGGAAAGAAAGAGGGAGAGAGAAAGAAAGAAAGAAAGAGGGAGAGACGAAAGAAAGAAAGAAAGAAAGAAAGAAAGAAAGAAAGAAAGAAAGAAAAACCAACCAACCAACCAACCGGCTGGGCTCTTCTCTCGGGGGGGGGGTGCCCCCTCCCTTTTCCTCCTCCCTCCCCCCCTCTCCCCCTCCCCTCCCCATTGCCCGCGGAGACTTGCGGGGGGGCGGGGGCGGCGGCTGGGGATTGGGCTGAGCCACCGGAGGGCGGGCCGGGGGGCGGGCAGGAGGGGGCGAGTGAGCGGCAGCGGCGGCGGCGGCTTCGGCTTTAGGGTCGGCGTCGAGTTGCAGCGAGCGCGGATCATGGGCAGCGGCGCTCTCCCCCGGGCGCTCCCTCTCGCCGGCCTCCTGGCGGGGCTCTGGCTGCTCGCCTGCCCAGGTAAGGGGGCGGCGGGACCCCCACCCCGCATTCCTCGCCTCTGCTGCTGCTACTGCGAGCCCGGGAGGAGAAGGAAGGACGGGCGGGCGGGAGGGGCAGGAGCCGGGCAGTTGCACCCGGGGTCCCTCCGCTCTTTCTGAACCGCTCCAGGGCCGTCCAGCCTGACTCCGCCGAGCGGCTCCGGGTGCAAAAGGGGCCCGCTTGGCTGCTGCCTCCTCCAAGCGCAGGAAAGGCTGGGATCCACCTGCCGGAGCGCCTTCTCCGCCTCCCCCCCCCCCGGTCGCGGCTCTTCGCTTTCTCTTTGAGGAGACCCTCCCCCCCGCCTCCTCGTTTGGGGATCCCCTGGACCCGCCTTCTTTGGGGGACAAAGCCCCTCGCACTCGGCCGGAGTCTGGGGGGGGGGCGGGAAGGGGGGAGGATTTTGGGAATGGAGGGCTCCCCGGACTTTGGCTTGACTTTGCTTTCTTTGCAAGTCGCCTCCTTTGGAGTGCACAAGAGCCCCAGATCCTTCCGTCCCCCCCCCCTTCCTCATTTCCCAGCCCCACAGGAAGATCTGGATTCAAATCTGGAGGAGGAGGAGAAGAAGAGGGGGAGGGCGAGGGGTGCAATTGCAGGGAGAAATGATGAGGGGAGGAGAGGAGGGAGATTCCAGACTTTGAATGGAGGACTTTGATGAAGACAGGAGGGGCGGTTCTATTTTACAGGTAGTCCTCGGTTTACGACCACAGTGGACCCAACCTGTATGTTGCTAAGTGAGGCGTTAAGGGAGTTTTGCCCCATTGTTCCTTGCTATGTTTGTTGAGGGAAGCGCTGCAGCCGTTAAAGGAGTAGCACCGTTGTTAAGTAAATCTGGCTTCCCCCCCCCCATCGACTTTGCTTGTCGGAAGGTCGCAAAAGGGGATCACGTGACCCCGGGACGCTGCAACCGTCATAAATGCGAGTCAGTTGTCAAGCATCCGAATGTAAATCGCGCGACTCTGGGGAAGCCGCAACGGCCGTAAGTGGGAAAAACGGCCGTAAGTCGCTTTTTTTCCCAGTGCCGTTGTAACTTCAAACGGTCGCTAAATGAATTGTTGTAAGTCGAGGACGACCTGTATATATCCCTTCCCTGCCCCCTCCGCTCACCTCAGTGATTTTGTCCCCCTGGCATTGGGTGGCTCGGAGCTGTGCCTTCGATAAAACCCATTTAGTTCTCTGCCCTCAGGCTCCCAATGAGGAGGCAAAGAAAAGGGGCACGTGGCTAGGTGCCTGACCCCCCCCCCCTTACTGCCCTCCCCCCTTGTCTCCTGCCCCTCCCTCATCTCCTTCCCCCCTAAGGCTAAGCTTCTTTCCAGCTCCCTATTGCTAAGCGGTGACTTGACCCTTCCTACTGACTCATCCCCAAAGTGATGCCATAGTTTCATACAGATGAATTGATGGGGGAAGGTCTGCAGCGGGCCTGAGGGCAGGGGTAGAGGGAGGGAGGCAAGGATTACAGAGGGGACCCCCCCCCCAACTTTCCACCCAGATGGGAGACAGAAGTTGTGGGGAGCTTTTGAAGAAAGAAAAGCCAGCCACACCTCGCATTTTTGGTCTAGGGCAGGGGTTCTCAACCTTGGCAACTTTAAGACTTGTGGACTTCAACTCCCAGAATTCCTCAGCCAGCTTTGCTGGCTGAGGAATTCTGGGAATTGAAGTCCACAAGTCTTAAAGTTGCCAAGGTTGAGAACCCCTGGTCTAGGGTAATAGGGTATCCAAGCTCTGGCAACTTGTGGACTTCAACTCCCAGAATTCCCCAGCCAGCCATGCTTTGGTGCCTAAGGTGGGACTAGACTTCACAGTCTCCTAGGGATTGGCAGCAAAGTGACCCAGCCAGCTTAATGCCTAAGGCAGCGCTAGGACTCACTGTCTCCTGGTGATTGGCCCGGAGTCACCCAGCCGGCTGCTTGCTTATGAATGCTGGCTGGGGGATTTTGGGAGTTGTAGTCCACCAGTGGCCAAGCTTGGACACATCTGGTGTAGGGCTTAATTTCAGGATGACCAGCCGTATTGCAAGTATTAATTCCTGCCACCCTGCTTCGGTCTGGCATTCAGCAGCCTTCAAATGTTGCTCCACCCGAGGATTAAATGATAACCTCTGCTGCAGATAGCAGCTTTTCAGGGCCAGCTTGCAACCCTCTGGAAGAGAAATTTGATGCACCCTCTGCAAGTTTTTTTTTTTTTTTTTTACTTTTGGAGAAATCCCTTTGGAAGGAAAGGAGGGGGCAACCCCCCCTAGGTGATAAAGGAGAAGAGGCGGGCAAAGGACTCAAATAAAGAATTGAAATAAAGTTTGAAAGTATGCAGCAGGCTAGGAAAGAGGTGCTGGTGCTGCTTCAGGCATGGAGCTAGCTGGGTGACTTTGAGCCAATCACCAGGAGATGGCGAGTTCTAGTTCTGCCTTAGGCATGAAGCCAGCTGGGTGACTTTGAGCCAATCACCAGGAGATGGCGAGTTCTAGTGCCGCCTTAGACATGAAAGCCAGCTGGGTAACTTTGGACTGATCCCCAGGAGACGGTGAGTTCTAGTCCTACCTCAGGCACAAAAGCCGGCTGGGTGACTTTGGACCAATCACCGACAGTGGCGAGTTCCAGCACACCTTAGGCATGACAGCCGCCTGTGTGATTTGGGGCCACTCGCTTTCTCTAAGCCCCTACAGGGTTGTTGTTATGGGCAAAATAGGATGGGGAAAGAGCATTAGGTATGTTCCGCCATCTTGAGTTATTTCTAAAGATAATGAAAAAGAACGTAAATCAAATCTAAACGCGGGTGCCAGTTTAGGGGACAGAAAAAGGGCTGAGCAGAACCTTTGTCTTGCTCAGTTACATGAGAATTCGCTTTCCTTCTCATTGGGTTCCCTCCCGATGCTCCCCCCCCCCTCTCTCTCCCTCTCTCCTCCTCTTTCTCTTTCTCCTCTCTTTCTCCCTCTCCCTCTCCCTCTCCCTCTCTTCTTTCTCTCTCTCTCCCCCTCTTTCTCCTCTCTCCTCTCTTTCTCCCTCTCCCTCTCTTCTTTCTCTCCTCTCTTTCTCCTCTCTCCTCTCTTTCTCTCTCTCTCCCTCTTCTTTCTCCTCTCTCCTCTCTTTCTCCCTCTCCCTCTCTTCTTTCTCTCCTCTCTTTCTCCCTCTTCCCTCTCTCTCTTTCTCTCTCCCTCTTCTTTCTCCTCTCTCCTCTCTTTCTCTCCCTCTCCCTCTCTTCTTTCTCTCCTCCCTTTCTCCTCTCTCTCCTCCTCTTTATCCTCTCTCCTCTCTTCCCCCTCTCTCTCTCCCTCTCTCTTCTTTCTCCTCTCTTTCTCCCTCTCCCTCTCCCTGTCTTCTTTCTCTCCTCTTTCTCCTCTCTCTCCTTTCTCTCCTCTCTTTCTCCTCTCTCTTTCTCTCTCTCTCCCTCCTCTCTCCTCTCTTTCTCTCTCTCCCTCTCCCTCTCTTCTTTCTCTCCTCCCTTTCTCCTCTCTCTCCTCCTCTTTATCCTCCCTCCTCTCTTCCCTCTCTCTCTCTCTCCCTCTCTCTTCTTTCTCCTCTCTTTCTCCCTCTCCCTCTCCCTGTCTTCTTTCTCTCCTCTTTCTCCTCTCTCTCCTTTCTTTCCTCTCTCTCTCTCTCTCTCTTTCTCTCTCTCTAATTTTGCAGATGGCTGCGCCTGGTGCAAAGGGAGGATGCTGATCAAATTGCACACGGGAAGGACAGGAGCGCTTCAGATGCCAGGGCAGCCTGCTTTGGGCGTGGTAGAGAGATGAGTGGTGCTGGACTGGCACAAGAGCCGCTGAAGAAAGCCACAAGAAGCAGAAGGGAAGATTGAGGAGAAGGGCGGGGAAGGGAGTGGGAAGCCCCCTCCCCAGCTTGGGAGTAGGAGGAAGGGATATGCCGCTTAGCTCAACATGCCCCAGCTGGTTATTTGTTCAGTTCTGACACTTCTGACATTCCTGCTCGTTTCTTACTTGAGTTTTTCTCAGCCTTTTTTTTTTAATCTTTGTTTGCCAGGCTGGATGCTGGGGGAAACTTTCTGCTCTGCCCCCCTCCCATCCTCATCACCTCCCACCCAGAAGGAGTTTGAGAGAGATTTTAGCTGGGAAGGACAGTTGGGAAAAAGATGGTTGCTGCGGTCTAGGGCTCTAGGCTTTATTGGTTAAGGGGTCTCTTCAAAGCATTTCTGATGCTTTTCTTCAAGCAAACAGATCACTTATATTGGATTTCAATAAGCAGCAGGCGCCGTCAGCAGTTCGCTGGTGGGGGGGGGGAAGGAGAGAAAAGGAATTGGAAGTTTGGCGTGCCGAGTGGATTGGGCCCCAGATGTGTGGAATCTTTCCTGCTCTATTTGGTTTTGCTAGGATTCACCCTTGCATTGCGGAAAGAGCTTTCCCCGAGGCTGGTGGCGGTTCCAGATGTGGAGAAGGAAAATGGGCTGTTTGTGGGTTATATAGCATCTCTCAGATGGTGTAATTTGCACCAGTTGTGGCTGAATTGTAATTATATGTAATTGTAATTATATAATTCAGAGCATTGGAGCCCGTTAGGTGTAGTGGTTAAGTTGCGGGCCTACAAACCAGGAGAGGGTGAATTCTAGTCCTGCCTTACGCGTAAAAGCTGGCTAGGTGAATTTGGGCCAATCTCTAGGAGATGGCGAGTTCTAGTCTGCTCTGCACAGGCTCAGAATCTCTCAAAGGGCCTGCTCTGAAATTGAAGAGAAGCTGCAAGCCTTGCCAGCTGGGGAATTCTGGGAGTTGAAGTCCACAAGTCTTAAAGTTGGAAACTAATCAAGGAGAGAAGCAACTTAGAACTAAGGAGAAACTTCCTGACAGTGAGAACAATTAACCAGTGGAACAACCTGCCTCCAGAAGCTGTGAATGCTCCAACACTGGAAGTTTTTAAGAAGAGACTGGACAGCCATTTGCCTGAAATGGTATAAGGTTTCCTGCCTGAGCAGGGGGTTGGACTAGATGGCCTCCAAGGTTCCTTCCAACTTTATTATTATTATAAAGTTGTTAAGGTTGA